CGTCTCGAATTCGTAAAAAAATACTCGGAGATCGCTGTTTATATGGCGGCGTATCAAAAGCTGATAAGACGCTGTCTTTCGTGTTTGATATACTACATAAATCAAGGCGCAACATCGGTAAACGCCGGTGATCTTGTAACCCAGAGTTGCAAACAACTCGTTAACCAATCAGAGCGTCTATAATCAAGCTGTTGGTACAACGAAAAAAATCGTCATTGTGCCTACCTTCATAACTTTTGAAACGGAGAGATAAGACGGTAAAATTCTATGGTTAATCTGAAAATCAGATATCCAGAGCACTCTCACTATTTTGATTTCCTTTTATTTTTCCTTATTGCTTATCATTATTATTGTTGTTGTTGTTGTTGTTATTATTATTATTATTATTATTATTATTATTATTAACTTAACTGTATCATGGATAAATATTTTCTGTAATAATGTTACCAGCTGTGTTCTGAATAACGGTAATGCTTCAACTTTTTTCTCCCTACAGCGGGGAGTCAGACAAGGTTGTCCGTTCTCTGGCGTCCTCTTCGTTCTTGGCATAGAACTCCTCTCTAGATCCATAAAAAGTGATCCTACTATTAAAGGTATCCAAGTCAACAAGTATGAGCTTAAAATAAGTCAATATGCCGACGACACAACAGTATTTGTTCGTGACCTCGACTCCGTTACGAGTCTATTAAGGGTGCTAAATGATTTCAAAGGGCATTCTGGTCTAGAAATAAACACCACTAAAACCGAAGCAATGCGGTTAAGCGAATGGAAAAGCAGAACAGATGAACCTTTTGGTTTTAAATGGCCAAAAGAACCTATCAACGCCCTCGGTGTCTTCTTTTCTTACAACCAAGAAAGTACTAACAGACTGAACTTCGGTGAAAAAATACTTAACCTAGAGAAAACGCTAAGCACTTGGCAACGGAGAAATCTAGCTCTTTATGGAAAGATTAACATAGTCAAAACACTTGGGATATCTAAATTAATTTACTCAGCTTTCGTGCTCCCTGTTCCAGATCACTTCATCCAAGAAATAAATAAGATAATTTCCAAATTCATTTGTGTAGGGAAGCCCCTTAAAATGAAAAGAAACACCATAATTGGAGAAAAGCTTAAGAAAAACGGCGGATTGAAAATGTGTGATTTTAAGATCATGGAAAAAGCGCTTAAAATAACTTGGGTCAACAGAATTCAAGACGAGTCACAAGCCTCCTGGAAAATAATTCCTAACCAGCTCTTACACAAACATGGTGGTCTAGCCTTCCTAACAAAATGCAACTTTGCAACAAGTATATTTGACCTAGATGATGCGCTTCCCACATTTTATAAAAAAATGTTAAATTATTGTTGCGAGTTCAAAATCTTAACGGGCATCGATTCCAAAACAAATCCTGAAACAAAATACTGTGGAATAACAGGAAAATTCCTGTGGGAAAGAAACCTGTTTTTTATCAAAATTGTTATGACGCCGGTATTACCAAGATAAGCGACATATTAAACCAAAATCAGGATTTTTTGAAGTGGCACGAACTTGCAATAAAATTCAATTTGAAGGTTCCTTTCACCATATACTATGGCCTGGTTAACGCAATCCCAAAAAATTGGAAAGCTCGTCTTAAAAACCCTATTCCGAACGTCACACACGATACCACAGTCAACACCCTAAGAACCAGTTCTATTTATTCCTGTCCTTTAAACACCATCTTCGTTCCTCCCACTGCTGAAACCAAAATTCTACGCCACGGATTTACAGAAAATACCATCCAGAAGGTTTATCTTATGCCATTTGCTGTCACAAATGAAGTAAAAATGATAATGTTTCAGCATAAAGTGATTCATAACGTGCTTCCAACCCGTGTTACACTTCATCGAGACGGCATTTCAGAAAGCACCATATGCAACTTATGCAACGCGGAAGAACAAACGTTGCATCAGCTGCTAATAAACTGCACACAAACAGTCGATTTCTGGATTCTGTTTCAAGACTGGTGGTATCAAACTGAAACAATAACGTTATCCATAAGCCATATACTCTAAGGCTGGCAATATAGGACAAAGCATTGGCAAGTCCTAAATTACTGTCTACTGATAGGCAAATGTTGTGTTTTCTGCTCAAGCCTTCGCGGAGATGTTTTAGATTTTCAAAACTTTCTATCGTTCATTCCCAGAAAACTTGAAATTCTTAAAGAGATTGCGACTGCAAAAAAAGCACTTCCAAAATGTTATCGCACGTTGGCCTTTTTACTTTAATTTTATATGCTGCCGATGTTTATGGTTAATTAATATTTAATTTCATATTTATTATTTAACCGTAAGTTTGTACATATAAGGAAAAAAAAAACTACATGTTTATATTAGGTGTCACTGTAATATAATAACAATTAAGAAAAGAAAAAGGATGCAAATAGTGTAAGAATAGTATTGTAATTGACAGTGGTGTAAGTAACCAGTATTGCAAGTACCGTAAGTAAGTTATGTAATTAGCCGTATGTGACATAGTGTATTGTTATAAGGGTAAGTATGTAGTATTGTAAGTAATGTATTTTATTGTACTGTTAAAAACAAATAAAATGTCAAAAAAAAAAAAGTAGCTAGTTATTACTTAACACTTGGTGCTCTAAAAAACATATGCTAGCGAGCTGCAATTGATCTTGGTGGCACAAGATTTTTAAGCCAATCATTTGTACGTAGTAATGCAAAATCAAAGCAGAAGCGTTTCATGTTGAAAACTCTAGTGGAAAGCGCCCTAAAGACTGTTAAGACTAAACCAAATCATCTGTAAAACTGATCCACGAAATCCGTTTGTCTTCGTCTGGTTCGAATCGTGTCCAGTCCATTTAGGGTCTCGGAAAAGTGAGAGAAGACTGGACTGCGGCATATTGACTCTAACCTTTTGAGATCTCTTGACGTCTTCAGGTAATACTTTGAGATATACAAGACTAGCACAATCAACGGAGTAACAAGAAATAGAAGCCAAGGATTTGTAACAGTTGGTACAATCATTGACGCAAACACCACCAACACTTGCTGGATAGATACTAGAAAAGTCTTGGGCAACAGCTCGTCAAGGCAGACTACATCTTTAGAAAATCGATTGAGTATTCTTCCCACGGGATTTGAATCAAAGAATAGAACCGGTGCTTGTAAAATTGCCAAAACCATTTTGTCATGAAGGCGTTCTGAAGATCTTAAGGAAACGAGAAAGAATCCATAAGTTCGAATGACGGCAAAGATGAGGGACGCACTGACGAGACAGCCATAGATAATGAGGTTTATGTTGTCTTTCTGATCTTCTGGAAGTTTCTTTGTTAATAATGACAAGCAGACATTGGGAGCAATTATCATCGCTGAGAAAAGAAAGAGGTGAAATAAATATAAGATCAAAACCCCTTGACAAGAAGCAAATCATCCATTTATCAGCTACTGAAGAAATACAAAACAAAGTTGGGTACATGAATGTTGGGTTTGAAGAACTAGTTAAAATATAAAGTCTTACCTTGCGCTATGAAGCAAAAACAAATTACTGCACAAATTGTTGACCAATGTACTCCGCTTCTAAAGTAGTTCCAATAAAGCTGCCATGAAACCACTCCGATGGAACGATCTTCTTGTGATATTTCCAGACCCCTAGCTTCATTGGGTAGTGGATAAACCGAACCATTGTTTCACAGCCATCAACACCTTTGTTTTTCTGTTCAATCTCCCAGGCAAAGCTCCTAGTAAAATTGCTATCTTTCCCAATTGTCTGATAGAGCGGATCAACAGTTGTGTTTAGGATACCTTTTTCTCGTAGTTCAGTGAAACTTCCCTTTTCCAAAACGCGGCCTTTGTACATCACAATCACCTGATCAGCTTCTTTCATGTGCTGTTCTTGATGTGATGCCAACACTTGGGTTTTATCGCCCAGTAGGTCGTTGATACATGTTTCAAAGATATGTTGGCCAACTTTAAAGTCCACAACACTCAGAGGATCGTCTAACAAGTAAAGGTCTGCATCAGCGTAAACTGCGCGTGCTAAACTAACTCTGGCCTTCTGACCTCCACTTAGAATTTCACCGCGTTCTCCAACAACTGTTTGGTCATAGTTAGGAAACCACTGGACGTCTTCCGTGAGCGCGCATGCTTCAATTACTCTGCTGTACTTCGGTTCATCGTATGGTTGAACAAACAGAATGTTTTCTCTTATTGTTCCAGAGAAGATCCAAGCTGCTTGGAGAACATAAACAAAAGAACCTTGGAAGGTTATTGTCCTGCTAACTTCAGAGATCTCTCCAGCGATGGCTGAGAGAAGAGTAGATTTTCCGCTGCCCACTGGTCCAGTTATGACTGTTAGACTTTGTTACTCTGTGGAAAATTCAATACCCTGCAGAATAAATTCATCTTGTCGCTGGATTTGTCTGTGCGTCGTATTCGACACACATAAAATACTGGGCTTGTCTTGCAGATTCTGTACAAGGTCAGCACTGAATACTTTTTCCATTTTCGCCTTCTGATCTGACAGAGTATTCGTTAATTTGCTTGAACTGCTCTCTGTATTACTGGTGTCCCCTTTGGACTGACTACGTGAGATGGAGGGAAGGTTTTCTAAAAGCAGAAAATCTTCTATTCTTCCTAGCGATGCATATGCTTCATATGTTTCTAGGAAAGCAGAAGAAATGAAACAGCATGTTTGATCTCTTGCCAAATGCATAAAACCTAGCAGCATAAAGACATTAACAGGTGTGATGGGTTGACCAGTAAGCACAAGAGTAACGACAGACAACAGGGTCGCCACTGATACTGAATTGTCCCACAAGGCAAGAACCCCTGACAGAACTGGCACTTTTCTTACGGATGGTGTTAATTTCACCTCTGAAAACAAAACGCAAAAGAACTATGAGGATATATCACTCAACAATGCTACAAGTGGCAAGTGGTATAAAGTAGTACAATAGAGTCTCTTACAACCGAGATTTACATGAGCAAATTGTAACGAAGCAGTTGCCGATAAATAAGGGTAAACAGTACCAGTACAATTGTTTTAGTGGACACTGAGAACAATAGCAGTCAGAAACCTACAATTTGAATAGTGTTTGCCAAAAACCAACAACGCTAATCCTTTTTAGTAAAATTCTACCTGAACACTAATGCAAATGCTGCAATCTGATTGGCTGAGCCATTGCACACTATCAGCCATTAGAGTAGAGTGGCTGGAGGTGGTCTTCGAAATGGCGACGTTTTTTCGTTGTTCCAAAGTTTTGAAAGAATATTTTGATGCAAATGGATAATTAAAATTCCTGAAACGACTAAACGAGTGACATTCACGGTTTCGAGACGTTAAAAAACTTGGCATTACTGAAAACATGATGCGCTCGTGCACACAACTGCAAGTTCAAATGACAATTCATTCCAAGCGATCTTTCTAAGGCACGAAGTTTATTAATACAACGAGAAATAGCTGGAAACAGTTATCTGAAATAAATTTCAGTTAGAATTCTACTAAAACAATTAGATTATTCGCTCTCGATTCCTATGAGGTGATAGTTGATGAGGCCAAAGTTAGAATTTTACTAAAAAGGATTAGTGTTGTTGGCCGAAATCTCGAGCTCATAATCTAATTGTTAAATAGGAGAACTGGCGTGATCGTGTTCTATAAGCAAAACGTGATCGACAAGGTAACTGATTAAACTCGCAAGTTGGCAATAGAAGACGATCAGTTGTGACTGAAATTTATTTTACAACTGCAGTGAATCCAATTGCACACGATCTGAGTCAACGTTAAGCACCACATTTGTTTTACCTACCTTCGTGTGTGCTCAATTTTTTTTCGGTATTCATCCTCCCACGTACGCGTTTTGATGGCACGAATTCCAGAAACCATCTGGTTCATTATGGAGATGCGCTGGTCGGACGCCACTGCTGTACGTAAGCGAAGTGCGGCGCTTATATAAGAGAATCCAGTGAAATATGGCACAAGAAAACACAGGTATGATGCTGCCATAAGAGATTGCCAGCCAATCGAAAACACAAGTAATACTGCTAGCACTACCAGAAAAAAGCACGAAAATATCGAAAAAGACATCCACATAACAGTGTGTTCCTCCAATCGCTGAACATCGTTTGATATAAGGTCGATCACGTGGCCAGTTGTAACTTTTAACAATGCATCCTTGCTGAGATGTAGCGTCTGTGAAACAAGTAATGCTAAATGTTAGGGTTTTTCACAAAACGAGGATTAAAGTAGCTCAGTCGCTGTCTTATGTTAATACTACTTTATCTTACGCTGCTTCAACTTTGCGAACAATCGATGTAAAGGAATTTTCCTCTTAATGCTATAGGTATATACATATTTGCCACCCCAGAGGGTAAGGTCTTTTGGCTGTTTTGTTCAGATAATAGGTCACTGATTTTTCCGTTTTGGTTTGAAGATGCGTATGATTTTGAGGGAAACCAGAGAGGCGTGGTTAAGTAATTTACTAAATATAAGATAAAAAGAGCAAACTAAGTAACCAAGAATGTAATTGGAGCAATACGCAAACGACCAGTTCTAGGGACCAGAATAGTCACCTCTTAAAGTCAATAAGCAAAATAGTCTAGATAGGGTCAGGATTCCTAGAACAGGGCATACCCCTTGGGACCTAAAAATGAGAGTATTGATTGTTTTACTGCCAAACGCCATTAGAGAATATTAAAATCAAGAAAGCAGAGTATATATACTAACAAAGTTCCTTCAGATGAAATTCCACGGCCTATGAAAAAGCATCAAGGTAAATAACTATTTCTCGTGGAAACAGGATCTATCCCTCTGTGTGGCTACTCCTACCTACGATCACTAGGATTGCTTTTTCCTGCGCTGTTAAGCTATTCTAGACTATTCGTGCTTACCTTATGGTAGACTAGACCTTTTAAGGCACAACTCATTCTGATACCCAACACCTTACATCTATAGTCGTGATGGTGCATACTAAAAGCTCCGATGAAGGAATTTATACACAAAGCCAGTGTACAACCATAAAGAAGATTATCTTTCTGTGGCTCAGCTGACATCAGTACGGAAATAAGAGATCCCAATAGCAATGGTTGAAGAAGGCGAGAAATCGAATAGCAAGCATTCGTGAATACAATAATCAGGATATCTTTAACCGAGATTAACTTTATGACGTTTTTCCAAACTTTAGGCCCTTTTCGATTACTTTTGCACTTTGTTTTTTCTTTGTTCCAGTTTGCTTGAAGCTGATCGGTCAGAAATGAGGCAGAGTTCTCTTTTGAAAGCGGTGAAAAATCGTTCTCATCTAATGGTCTTTCATTGCCTATCTTGACGATACGATTCATCCATTGAAAGAAAAGAAGAGACATAAAGCTGACTGCTTCTTTCTCTTCATTCGTGGAGATCTTTTTGTATCCATTCTTTGCCATAACAGTTAATCTGAAAACTGACGAAGATCAACATCTATAGATCAAAATTCATGGTCACAATGTTTGCTAGCTCATAGTGTTTAAATTAACGCAAATTCAGACGTCAGAGAACCTTGTCGAGTTTAGCGCGCAAGGCCTCAAAGGTTCAGTGGCATCCGACAAACAAACATTTTAGACTCCACCAGAGAAAAAACATTTTAAAGAAGTAAAAGAAAAAAACAATTAGTCTTCCTTAAGCTATTGCTATTTTCTGGAGGTTATTTGCTGTTCGGCAGTCCCAGCAGAAACCTACCTCTGGTTTTATCTTCCAGCGTGGTTTTTCAAACTTAAATAGCCAGAGAGTAGCAAAATCTAAACCTTCAATAGCGGCTTGGCATCAGGGCCATATCTAGATATTTATTTGTGGGGGAGAAGGAAGGGGGGTCCGTGAAATACCACAGTGGTGACCTATACATTTTATCCAGTGGAAGTCACATTATTAGAACCTCTTTAAACCATATCTACAAACAAAACATCCTCGCAACAGTGTCCTTTTCAACCCAACTGAAACCATTCTCATCAATAATTTCACTAGCTTTAGCTACAGCAACCCTGTACGGCTCCGGAAATAATTCCGGACTGCAAATAGGCCATATTTGTATTCCGGTATTGCACTCCGGTGTTTTAAGATGCAAAGTCCAAAATGTACCTGCTAGTTGTTTATGTTCTTGTTATTTTGTTGATGATTGTATAAGATACGCAGGCTATGAAAACATGACTCAATAAAACCACTAATGACAAATTTGTCAAACATTTTATCAGTGTAACTTGTGAAAGGACAAAAATAATTTCCGATGACAATCGATAATAATCGATACCAATCGATGATCGATCGTTATCGATTACTGTCGGCCATCGATAACTCACAACTGTCTTCTTCGATTTTCATCGATCGCTATCGACAATCGATAGCAATCTTCGCGGTGGTTTAGAGGAGGTAATATTATTCGAACTAATGTTTCCCGGTTTGATAAATAAAACAGCTGCGAGCATAATCAGTATTATGAGTTACAGCCTTTTCCAGGCGTTTACTTTTCGCGCTGCGCCCCAACTAAATGAACGCCTGGAAGAGGCTATATGAGTTGTCACTCTCATCCCAATGACAAATGGGTCAAGCCTAAAGTAAAGAAAACCGTTACACATCCTACTCCTCTGTAACAGACCAGGTTAAACTGAACCCGGTGGGTTATTTTGCCCTCCCTGGTGGACTTTTGACCTCCTTGGTCTATTTTATTTGTTCTTGGTGTAGAATTTAGTTTCCCTGCAAGAAAAAAGTCACGAGTTTGGAATTGCTGTCTTGTTCTTTCAATTAAATGGAACACACGGTAGACAATTGTCGTCTTGGAACGCTAGAAGTGACGTTTCAGAGCAACAAGATTTCAAAAGTTTATGTGGGGAGCATGCTTCCAGACCAGAACCCCTACCGGCTCGTGCCTCTTTGAATTTATCCGGATCGTTGCTGCTCTAAACGTCGGACAGTCAATCCATGTGATCATGAAGATTGTGATAACGGACAAAGGCTTTATTGGAGAATGCTGCTTAGTTCAATGGCTTTGACCGGTGATAAATTTGCTTTAGTTGACTTGTGAAGAATCACCGCAAATGGGCCATCCCCAAATTGACAGGGATCTCGTCTTTTATTAAATCTATTCATACCCTTTATTGTACATATCTTACTTTTTATTGTCTACATTCAGCTTTAATAATTTTCTAATGATTTTTTATTTTTATTGTTTTATTAACATTTTTTACACGGCCCCATAAGCTATATTAGCTTTAAAACCCACCGTGTTTAAATAAAAGATGTTGTTGTTGTTGTTGTTGTGATTTACCCGTTTAACAATTCATTTAAACGAGGACAAGGACTAATCCCAAGAGAATTCAGGATCTTTTGAATACGCCCTTTAATCTCTAGTAAAGATTAGATCATTGTGTAAACTCGACGCGAATTAATTGCGGAGTACACGAACATTGCAGGACCCCAAGAGCGGACCAGAACTTTTGACTTTTTTCATAATATAAAGTGCAAACATTGATTTTTTTCCATTTCATGCGTCGACGGCTGGCCTTCAATTTCTTCACTTCGACCGGCCCAAGCTTGAAACAACTTGCTTTCAAAGTCTAGGACAATACGCTTGCATTTATAAACATATCTGGTTAGATTTTATATGTTATTGGCATTTTTGTCTGCCCTGATAGAGATTTTGTTGAAACCTCATGAGCAACCATCGTTTTATACATAGTTAGTAAATAGCTTTATACATATAATGATATCCGTCACCACGGTTACTCAAATTTTTAACAGTCTGTTCCTATGCGTTCATTCTGATTGGACTTGTTTGTTTCACGAGTGTGGTATGACGCGGTTGCAGTAAATTGCATTTGTAAGGTAAAATTCTCTTCGGACCTTTTATGACAACTCTGAAAAACCCTCGCCCTAAACCCCAAACGTTTACTGTTAGATATAAATTTAAGCTGGAATGTCAAGTAAACTATTCACTGTTAAATTGAATGGACAATCCTAATACTTATACAAAATAATTATGAGGGGACACCTCCTGAGCGTAATGATTTGGCGTGCAGTGAGTTTCACTTTTCTTACCAGCTTATGATGTGCTGTTGAAGACAGTCCAACTGCTGGCTGGAAAAAACTTAGCTTGGAGACTGTACCTAAGGCTTTCACGTATCATTTTGTATGGTTGTTGACCATCGACTTAAATTTGAAGCATTGCTTATCTCCCACCTGAATTCCATTTTTAATTGAGATTCGAAATTCTCTATTGATGGTTTGCAACTAATCTCTAGAGAGTGAAATGACAAAAGTCTGGCGGCCATGTTTGATGATAAAAACAAAAGAAGCTTGGTACATGTACAAATCTTTTGTTAAAGTATGTCACCATGTTGGCGGCGATTATCAGTTACGTGAAAACTAAGGATTGCTCGACTGCGAAGGAAACTAGTAAATTCGCTGGTAACTTTTAAGGCAAATCACTAGGGTATGATGCAAAGTCGATCCCACGAAGATACTTTTATACCTGTTGGAACCATCTCAGTGGAGTTCTCTCCAGTTTAATACATTGCTGAAGGAAATTTAGTTTACGCTCGCGGCTTTAATTTACATACATACCTATTACACTTAATCAGGTGCCCTAGACCATAAAGTTTGCGTTCCCCTGTGGCCTTGTCACCGAAAGAAAAATGCATCAATAAAGATCTATCGTGGCATTAGACTTGCCACAAGTCGACCTTTTCTTAATCCTTGACTTATTTATCTCCCTTGAGCGAAGCGCGAGTGTAATCTTCCAGCGAAGAAATCGCGAGGGCGAGCGCGAGCGACGTAAGTCGCGAGAGGTCGACTTGTTTCGTTTGCAGGGATGTGAATCAAAGCGTAAATTTTTGGCGCGAAAAACACAAAATGGCGCGAAAACACAAAATGATTTCCATCAAAACGTTAACGAGTACTGTTCCTTTCATGTAACTCAAATGAAGTTTTTTGTGTACAGTGCAGTATGTAGTCAGCAATATTGACAAACGGCAAAAGCTTTTCCATTGAGTAACGCTTCCTGAAAACAAAAAACCGTGTTTAAACCGATCGGGAATTATTTGTTTTAGTCTAGATTAACCAGCGATCGACCAGAGAGCTGCCTGACAAATGCTATAAACTTATGTACATCTAGCTTGTACCGACAAGAATCGGAATAAACTAAAGAAGATGGAATTAGTCGGGGAGAACTTTAATTCTGTTAAGCTCTCTCGATTAAATAACGTTGAGAATCGAAGTTGCAACGAACGGCAGAAAATAAAAGGTCTTAAAGCGCTCTTCCTAAAAGTCCTTCATCGATCGACAAAATCATCGACGACTGTTTTCAACACGGTAAAATGGCCAAGGAAATTTGCTGCGATGCCCTTTCTTTATTGAGAAGAAACTTGGTCTTTCATTCAATCAACATAAAGTAAAACAATTACACAAATTGCAGGAACGGCTCTGTTCTTTTTGGAAAGGTCCAAACTTAATTCTCTCAAACGATCCGGATCACGCAGGAGCTCAGATCGCGTCCGTAAGTAAACAAACACGTATTGGTCGGGTAAATAACCTTCCACTGCTTTACCCTCAAAGACTTAAAATTAAGTTTGATAGACCATATTCAATTGCTTCCATAAAATTCATATCCTTTAGTATATCCGAGAACAAAAGCAAGATGAAAAAGATTTTTATAGTAGTTGAACTCAGCATGCATTTGCTCTGCAAGTCGTGTCGTTGATCGCGCGCGACGTCATGACGTATAGTCAATACTTGTTTGTTCACTGGCTAATGTATATTTACGTCACCGGTGGAAAATTGGTGCTCTGCAAGTGGGAAAAGTCCTTTCCAACGGCGAAACCAACAGGCCAGGGAAGAATTATTGGAAAGGACTTTTAGAAAATCCTTTCCAATAAACCGGGTTACCCTAGTACTTACTCTTCGCGTGTTTACAAGTCAGCTAGGGTTACCTCGAGCCGAGTAGGCGGGTTACCCTATCTGCGTGCTAGGGTTACCCTGGCAGGCGGGTTAACTTTCTCCCTGCTTGTTAACACTCCAGCTAGGATTAAGCCGCCTACCCGGGTTACCTTTCTAATTGTTTCCACTGAGACCCTTTGAGTGTAGCCGCGCGTCAAGTTGTCCCGGGTTGTAAGGTTACCCTACCTGCGAAATTTTGCTTGTAAACCCGGGCTATCTTTTCCCCTCCAGTTAGGGTTAACCCGCTTGCTAGGGTAACCCTACCTCCTTGTAAACAGGCCGTAAGTACACATGCAGTGTCATAGAGTCGAAGAACGACACGCTACAAGTAATATTTTAGTTGATGCGATGGAACTTCCTTGTAGTCATTTAACTGTAATCTCTGAGTACACAAAAGTGACAAGGAACACTTAAATAACTGAAACCATTTGCTGGTGTTAGGGATATTATACTGAAGAATAAT